TCTCGTTGTGCTTCGATCTCTGTTAACCGGCACCGTTTCTTCTCCCGTGTGCTTCAGTCTCGGTTAAACAACAGCACCGTTCTTCTCGCCGGTGCTTCAGTCTCGGTTAAACAACAGTATATCAACCTGTTTCTCAGTGTGCTTCAGTCTCTGTTAAAAACACCGTTTCTCCGTGTGCTTCAGTCTCTGTTACACAGTGTTCTGTGCACTTCTTAAACTACACAGTTTCTCCGTGTGCTTCAGTCTCTGTTAAACACCGTTCTCCGCGTGCTTCAGTCTCTGTTAAACACACGTTTCTCCGGTGCTTCAGTCTCTGTTAACACACCGTTTCTCCGTGTGCTTCAGTCTCTGTTAAACACACCGTTTCTCAGTGTGCTTCAGTCTCTGTTAAACACACCGTTCTCCGTGTGCTCTCAGTCTCTGTTAACACACACGTTTCTCCGTGTGCTTCAGTTCTCTGTTAGAACACACCGTTTCTCCGTGTGCTTCAGTCTCTGTTAAACACACCGTTTCTCCGTGTGCTTCAGTCTCTGTTTAACCACACCGTTTCTCCGTGTGCTTCAGTCTCTGTTTAACACCACCGTTTTCTCCGTGTGCTTCAGTCTCTGTTAAACACACCGTTTTCTCCGTGTGCTTCAGTCTCTGTTAAACACACGTTTCTCCGTGTGCTTCAGTCTCTGTTAAACACCACCGTTTCTCTCCGTGTGCTTCAGTCTCTGTTAAACACACCGTTTCTCCGTGTGCTTCAGTCTCTGTTAAACACACCGTTTCTCCGCTGTGCTTCAGTCTCTGTTAAACACACCGTTTCCCGGTGCTTCAGTCTCTGTTAAACACACCGTTTCTCCGTGTGCTTCAGTCTCTGTTAGACACACCGTTTCTCCGTGTGCTTCAGTCTCTGTTAAACACACTGTTTCTCCGTGTGCTTCAGTCTCTGTTAAACACACTGTTCTCCGTGTGCTTCAGTCTCTGTTAAACAAAACTGTTTCTCCGTGGCTTCAGTCTCTGTTATACACCCCTGTTTTCTCCGTGTGCTTCAGTTCTCTGTCTATAACACACTGTTTCTCCGTGTGCTTCAGTCTCTGTTAAACACACTGTTTCTCTCTGAAGCTTCCTGAGCTGCTGTTCAGCTGGACGGCAGGAAGCAGAGGTTTGGGAGGATGATGTCTCTGATGCTGTTTAGATTTCTCCAGCACCATGGGGGGTCCTGTGTGGATGGCAGCTCCTTCCTCAGCAGATCCAGTTCTCCAGAATTGTTCTAACCACAGAGAAAACAAGAGAGAAAGAAAAAAATGAATTAATCTAATCAAACACAGGGTTGCAATATGATGATTGCAAAATGTAACTCAGCAACAAAACGGTATTAAATACATGTAGTGGAGTAAAAGTACACCATTTACTTAGTTGTACTTAAAGGTCCCTTATTATACTGTTTTTCATCAATATATAACAGGTCTCAGATATATACAGAACCTGTCTCTGATTGGCTGAAACACCAAACAGATCATTGCAGCATTACCCATAATCCCCTCTGTTTCAGCCCTGTTTCCAAAGTGCTGATTCTCTGTCTGTTACTTTAGATGAAAATAAGGAGCCCCTCCCCACGCCCCTCTGAGAGAGATGTGGTTAAAAAGAACACAAGAGATTCAGGCGCCGTTTACACGAGGAGAAAACTGCTTGTATCTGCATAGTTTCGCGTGCGTATAGCCCTATTATTTACACGAGGCCGATAGAAACTGACCCCACAAACGATAACGGGTCCCAAGGTGGATAGATTTGCAAACGAAACGCTCTGGGGGGTCAACCGAGTCCGTGTAATCACCTCTACACGAATATTTCCTGAAAAAAATAGCGAAAAAAAAAAAAAATAGCACCTCTCTTGCTCACTGCTGTAGCAACTATCAAAAATAGCTGTGTTAATTAAACGCACAAGGGGTTCTTGAATGAAATAATATTATAAAAGGCAAACCAGAATTGTTAACGCCCAATATACTCCTTAAACAAAATAAACAGAGTCAGATTTCATGCATTGATCCATTATATTGACAAAGGTGCATCTCACCCGGTGTTTGTAGAGAATATCTCTCTTTCTGAGCCGTCCTCTCGATGCAATATCCACAGAGACGTGCTTCTTGGTTTCTTTCAGTTAACTTCCCCGTTGCATTTATCCATATGCTGAGGAAATGACTATATCCCGCTGAATACCAGCAATCGCCACAGACACTGACTTCCTCCTGTCAGTAGCTACTGCTAGTGCTACTGCTACTGACCATGCTACAGATATTAGTGCAAAAATATACAGCTCCTCTACCACAACCATCAGCAACAACAGATTCGGTTTCTTTCAGTTTCTTTCAGTTTCAGTTTCAGTTTCAGGGCTTAAACAGAAGGGTAGCCATGGCAACATTGCTGCGGGGCTGCTCCAGGCTGCTCTTCTTCGCGGCTTTTGGTGTATTTTGGCGGAAGTTACAGCGCCACTTACAGTCCCAGCATATGTACTACAGCGTTTCCAGCGGCCTCGTTTAAACAGACACGTTAAATGAAACAAATGCATGTGAACGGAAGACTTTTTTGAATACGCATACTGTGCATAAACGCAAACGGTCCTGTGTGAGCGGGGCCTCAGGTGATAAGGTGGGGGGGGGGGGGTTACCTTGGTTGGTGATTGGCTAATGGTTACACAAGCCAAAAAATATATGACATCATAAAGTTACTTTATACCTCTAAGCCGGTTTAATGTTGTTGGGTATTTTTGTGATATAAAGTATAATGTATCCATAACAGAGCCGAGATCTCTGTTTGGTAAAGTTAGAAAGACATTGACAGATTGAGGGAGACAACGAGCTACAGAGCAGTTTTAATCAAAGCACTCTGATGCGCGCCGTCCTCCATGCGAGGCCCTGGCTTCAATCTGCGGCCGGAGGAGAGACTGGCGCTCAGGGGCCATCAACACAAATACACATTTCAAAGCCGAAGGATTATACTACAAAAAATAACTGCACGGTGTATACAAACCAAAAATCCCTCCACATTAGCCGTCACTAAATACTACACCAAGAAGTTTGGAGAAAGATGCTTTTTTTCAATAACTTTTAATCTAAAAAGCGAAGTAAAGCATTTACAATTTCAAGCACTTTATCCCAAATTCAAGCACCATTCCCAAAATTCAAGCACTTTTCAAACCTTGAAAACACCTCGTACAATTTCAAGCATTTTCAAGGATTTCCAGCACCCGTACGCACCCTGATTAATGGACGTCTCTTTAAAATGACCGCTCAGAGGAGAGGAGTTCTCATTTCTCTAACCGCCTGCTGCTTCCCCTCCTCTCTCCTCGGCTCCTCCGCTCGCATCTCCTGTGGGCGGGACTAAGTCTCGAGGATAGGAGTCGAGGAGGGGAGTTGAGGAGGGACATTTGAAGACATGAGAACGGGCCTGAGTGTGAGCACACACACAAACTGCGGGTGTGTGTGTGCGCGCTCGGGCTGGTTTCGGGCTGGGTTTCGCTGTGTCTCGCTGTCTCGTAGACGGCCACTGGGCTCACAGGCAGGGGGGGAAGGAGCTCCAACAAGCCGTTTAGGACAGAGAGTGAATACACATACTATACAGAGATGCTGTATGAGAAACCAATGTGAGTTTGGAACATTGCACAATATAAATCTATTTTAGTATACCTCAACAATGGAATTATGATCAGTAGAAATTGCCATAACATGGGACCTTTAAGAGATGGGTGATGTCATTTGTGTACTTAATTATAACTAAGTACTTTTACTGTACTTACAGTAAGCAGAATTCTAGGGTATCATGAGTATTTTCTGCTGTTTTATACTATATTTGAGTTTGTTTGTCTGAACAGCTTGTTTCTCTTGTGCATTAAGAACACTTGTGTTAGGGTATGATTTAACAATAAAGGTTATATATACAGTATAAAATACCACGTACTGTCGGCCCTCCCATGCCACCCTGGCATGACCTCTTGCCCCCCCTTTGCCACCCCATGTAAAATGTTCTAGAACCGCCACTGCAGCCGCGTAACCAATGTTAGTTGAACAATGCCGACAAACAGCTTTGGTTCGGTCCACCTGTCTTTGTCCGTCATCCTTGTACGTAACTGCGAAACCAAAATGTTCCCAAACCGGAGACTTCAATGATGCTGGAGGATTTTCGAGCTCAACTTTATCTGTGTTCGCCATTTCGACAGTTCCTCAAATTACTGACTAAATTTGAACGCATCCCTGTGACCAGCTCTCATAGTATGCCTCTCGTCCAATGAAATGACTTGGTCGCTCTATGACGCGTTGAACCCAATGTGAGCAAATTACACTGAACGCTGCGACGCAGCACCTGAGATTACTTCCAAAAAGTTGTTCACGTTCTCAATTTTTTATGTTTAACGTTATATTCGTTCAGTATACTTCGTACACACGTGTTTGGTCAAATAAAGTGACAGACTAGGCCTGTGCAGGTGGTTACAGCTACGCCCACTGTCTGACTGGAGGAATGAGATTTCTGAATCAGTTTCTTTTACTGTCCTTCTTTCTGTAGAGGAAGTAAAGAAACCGTAACTCTGTTGTTTGAGGTGCAATATATGACTCAGCAGCTTTAAAGGTCACCTATCATGCTATTTTTAGGCAATAGCATAGGTCTCAGATATATAAAAAATATAAAAAACATGTCTATGAAGTGTTTTGGTCAAACAACCAAACAGATCACCCAATCTAGCCATGCCTCATATCCCTCTATTTCACTTCCTGTTACAAAAGTGCTGATTCTGGGTACAAACAGGTCTCTCTTGAGAATGAGACCCTGTGTCTGAATGAGATGTTCACCTGTATAAATAAAGGCTAAATAAAAAACTGTCTAAAATGCTGCGGTGATGAAACGCAAGGATTATTAGAACAAGGATTATTTCTGTATGGAGCTCAAAGGCCTTCTCTCTCGCCGGTTATACCACAATGTGAGTTCCTTTTTATAAAGAGAGAGTGAATAAAGAGAGAACAGACCTGCTCTGTGGATCTGAAGCTGAGGCTGTAAAACAGCGTCCAGTAGTTTCCGGTGTCTCTCGTTCTCCTGTTTTGAACGAGACAGTTCATCCTCGTACTCTGCTATCCTTCTTTCAAACAGAACAAAGATGTCTTCAGCAGCCGCAGTGAGTCGCTGCTTCACCAACGAGAGCAGCACAACACTCATGTTTACTAAATCACCACTTCCTGTTAAACACACTGTTTCTCCGTGTGCTTCAGTCTCTGTTAGACACACCGTTTCTCCGTGTGCTTCAGTCTCTGTTAGACACACCGTTTCTCCGTGTGCTTCAGTCTCTGTTAGACACACCGTTTCTCCGTGTGCTTCAGTCTCTGTTAAACACACCGTTTCTCCGTGTGCTTCAGTCTCTGTTAGACACACAGTTTCTCCGTGTGCTTCAGTCTCTGTTAAACACACCGTTTCTCCGTGTGCTTCAGTCTCTGTTAGACACACCGTTTCTCCGTGTGCTTCAGTCTCTGTTAAACACACCGTTTCTCCGTGTGCTTCAGTCTCTGTTAAACACACCGTTTCTCCGTGTGCTTCAGTCTCTGTTAAACACACTGTTTCTCCGTGTGCTTCAGTCTCTGTTAAACACACTGTTTCTCTCTGAAGCTTCCTGAGCTGCTGTTCAGCTGGACGGCAGGAAGCAGAGGTTTGGGAGGATGATGTCTCTGATGCTGTTTAGATTTCTCCAGCACCATGGGGGGTCCTGTGTGGATGGCAGCTCCTTCCTCAGCAGATCCAGTTCTCCAGAATTGTTCTAACCACAGAGAAAACAAGAGAGAAAGAAAAAAATGAATTAATCTAATCAAACACAGGGTTGCAATATGATGATTCTCTGTCTGTTACTTTAGATGAAAATAAGGAGCCCCTCCCCACGCCCCTCTGAGAGAGATTTGGTTAAAAAGAACACAAGAGATTCAGGTGATAAGGTGGGGGGGGGGTTACCTTGGTTGGTGATTGGCTAATGGTTACACAAGCCAAAAAATATATGACATCATAAAGTTACTTTATACCTCTAAGCCGGTTTAATGTTGTTGGGTATTTTTGTGATATAAAGTATAATGTATCCATAACAGAGCTGAGATCTCTGTTTGGTAAAGTTAGAAAGACATTGACAGATTGAGGGAGACAACGAGCTACAGAGCAGTTTTAATCAAAGCACTCTGATGCGCGCCGTCCTCCATGCGAGGCCCTGGCTTCAATCTGCGGCCGGAGGAGAGACTGGCGCTCAGGGGCCATCAACACAAATACACATTTCAAAGCCGAAGGATTATACTACAAAAAATAACTGTACGGTGTATACAAACCAAAAATCCCTCCACATTAGCCGTCGCTAAATACTACACCAAGACGTTTGGAGAAAGATGCTTTTTTTCAATAACTTTGGTGATTTTGTTATTGTTGTCGAGCCGATGAATGGGAGTCGGAGGCGGTGTGTTTAATATGGAACTCCACACTTTATTTTCCATTTACTCACACACACGAAAACGTACTAGCTGCATGCTACTGCGAAACTGGAACAACAACAACAGGAAACCGGAACACCAAGGTGCCGCCCACTAACCGGTCCGTGGGGCAACACTATATCTTGATCCCTGTCACTACCCGATCCGCATCCCTACCCGAACCGCATTGCGCATGTGCGAGATGGTCTGCCATATTTGACAACTACATACGGCAACTCAAATAGGACACTTGACACAGTGGCGTTTGGCAAAGCAGAAAAAGAAAACAAAAAAAACCCGAAAATATTAATCTGAACGAGAGATGAGTTATTGTGATTACAACGTGACTTCACTATTATTTAACAACTCCTTTTATTGGGTCATTTTATTGGGTTAAGTACATTGTCAGAAAAAGGGAGAAATTGATTTAACTTCTGTTAGACAGCTATCATACTGAAGAAATATCGACTGTGAATGTATGCAAAAATGTATGGCATTAATCATTTATATCTAATTACATTAAAGGTGGGGTAGGTAATTTTGGAGAAACCGTCTCGAGTGCGTAGAATTTGAAAATACACAGCCGGAAAAAATCTGCCACTTCCTTCCAGAGCCCCTCCTCCAACACACACGAACGCGCACATGACCAATGAGGGCACGAGATAAGTTTGTGCACAGATGGAAGGCTGACGGGCAGGTAGGCCATCCAGTTATTTTAGCCGGGCCGGCAATCCCCACCCACAAAAATACAATGGTGAATTATGTCTCTTAATGCTCCGCCACATTGTTCAAAACTATTGATTAACTTAAATTATAAACATAGTTGTGCAAGTATAAAAATCACTTCCCACATTCATGATGTCCTGCTGCTTACCCTGCAACAGTAAAGTTGGGGAAATATAGTTCAACAACTCTTAAAAGAAAAAAAGGGTTTTAAATTCACTGTTATCAAAATCAATCTGTGCGAGAGCTGTCTCATTCTGCTTTTATTACACAAATAAATTGGGGAAAATATCATCCGGGATTTCTCTAGAAAGTATAGTATGAGTACTGTGGTTGTGGTCGAATAGTCCATTTAGCTTAGGAACCTTCCTCACGGAGTGAAATGACCCGGAAGTCCCTCAGTGGCAGCCATGATAAGTGCCGTTCCAATTCTCTAATGCCCCTTTCACACCAACGCAACTCCGGTTCAAGCTCCGTGCTAGAGCTTTTCTGGTTCAGAACCGGTTCTTCGGTTTAGCGCCGGCTCTTTTCACACCGCTCAGAGCCCGACTGGTGCTGCCGCTGCTGCGTCATGACGTCACCGTTTACGTCGCTGAGTTTCTCCCCAACGCCGGAGCTCACTTCACAACAACAACGGGCCGGGGACTGCGTTGCTTTTAATCATACGAAGCCAGATTAAATTAAATAACGACTTCTCCAACCTTATACTTTTCTCCAGAGTGCCGTGGTTCATTGTTTATTAATGTGTTTCAGCGGCATTTACCGACCGCTGCAGTGCTGGCCGGCTGCTCTTCAACGGGAGTGTATTCTCCCGTTAGCTCCGGGTTAGCTCACACGGCTCTAAAGTATTCACTGTCTGACTGTCACACAAGCAGCTGATACATATCCCCAGTTCCCCTTAAGTGAATGTGTGTCAGTCTGAATTGACGCTGTTTGGTGTCAGTCTGAATTGACGCTGTTTGGCATCACAACGCTGTTATGAAAGTTTCTCTGGTATAACATGGGTGATGTTAGCATAGCAACCGAAGCTAAACTGACTACTTGCTAAGCAGTTTTCTACAGGCACTTTTTACCGACGTATTTTTCATTATGATTCTACTTGTGATAGTCGGACATGACAACCTGTGCAGCCCATGTATTGATTCCATCCGATAGCTGCTATAATAACAAACGTCTGCCTGCTCTCCACAATGATCAATAACAGCGAACGGATGGTCAAAGTAAGGTACAAATAAACAGAATCACACGAAGCCTGGTTAGTGTTGCCTGACTTTATAAAGTGTGTTTTTTTTAACAAGTGTGTGGTTGCGTTCTAGTCACTTTGCTCAGCACTACTGCTTGTTACAACTTTTATTTGCCGTACTCGCCTTAAGTGTTAGCTCAGGTTAATCTCGCCCCCCTCCGACGTAAGCGTGACGTATGCGGTTCTTGCTTCTAGACGGACAACTTTTTGGTGCTCGAAACGAACCGGATTCCGGAGCTATGACGCTGCTCCGCTGCGGTGTGAACAGGAAAACCCGGTGCTTTTCAAGCACCAGCACCGAACCGGCCCTGAAACACCGTTGGTGTGAAAGGGGTATAAATGAAAGGAAAGGAGGTTTGAAACTTCCTTTATAACCTCCTTTAGCTTAGGAACCACTGGACCTCCCTAGCCTAAAGGAGAGGAGAAAATGCTGCCCCACAATGCCTTGCGGCCGCGGCATTTGCCGTCACACAACAGTCGGCCGTTCACGGAAACAACCGATTATGAACGAGAAATGATATCATGAAAGTTACGGTTCAAAACGTAAGTGGTAACTTGCCAAAGTGCTTTGTTTTGAACGTTCATCAGTATTATAATCAAGAAGAGAAATATGAACGTTAGTTTTTACTGAAATGATCAAATAAAGTCAACATTTCACAGTCTTTACTGAGCTGTGTGGGGTTTGTTCAACTTTTAAAAGATGTTTGAATGGTGATATACACAGTGATAGATGTTAAGGACTAACGTTTATAATAAATACATTTGTATTGATTTTAAGATCTTTTCATACAATCATACGTATTAGGATCATTTGTATTAATGTGAACCGGAGGGAGAGGGTGACGAGCATAAGTTTCACTTTCCTTTTTTATTTCAATTCCAACTTTGGTCATGAAGAATATGTTTCTCTGTTGTCCCCGTTCATAAAGCATAACAGCATCAGAGCACGGTGCAGAGTCTCTCGATGAGTTTACAGTAGTCCCTCGTTCTTATTAAACATCCATGTTGTAGTCCGCTGTATAGAAAACTGTAGTTTCCCCACAGCAGCAGACGCACATTTATGACGTCCGCTGGCGCATCATAAACACGTCGGATAGTGAAAGTGCAGTCGGATTCTCTAAAGTACCGCAGTCTCTTCTCCTAAGTCCTTTTGAATTCTCCTATCCACTATCCCTTAACCCTGTGACGTTTCACTCAGAGGTCAAGGAATAGACGATAGGGTTAGAACTTAGGAGCTGATTTTTGGACTACCCGACCGCAACCTGTGTCTCTGATCTTGTTCATGATCTATCAATTATCGCGAGAACATGACGCCTAGATACAAGATGGCGCTGCGGATGTAATCAACAACGTGGCGTCGGAGCTCCGTAAAACAAAGCTGTCTCTGCCATCTGACGCTCTGTTTGACACCATTTTCATATTTCTAGAGTAATTATACAGTTTTTGACGAACAGAAATATTGTTTTCTGGCATTACTTTAACATTTTACATGAGAGTAAGAGGGTGCAAAGCTCGTGTTACCTGGTGCAGACAAAACCCTGTAAATGAATTATGTTAGTGGATTTGGTCGTGTAAACAATTACTGGGGAAGAATAGTTATTTTGATGATTTCTTCTTCTAAACTATTTTCAATAGCTTCAGTAGCTTTCTCCCTTGATCCTCAACGATCTGTTCAACAGTATGAAATGTCCGAATTGACAAATCAGAATGGAGTATTCAACTAAGCCGTGTTATAAAGTAAGTTGAACCCAATACTCACATTGATCAGTTATATTCCTCGTGGTTTTAAATCCTCTCTGCTGCCGGTATGGTGGGCGCCATTGTCTTTGGAAAAAAAA